TATTTCCCATCGTATTATAGATCCTTTAATGTATGGATTTGTAGTACAAGTTAAAATATAACACGTGTTATTACTGTTATTTACGATTTCTTTTATTATGTTTCTGGTTGTGGAGTACTACTTAAAGGATTTTGTGTTTTATGATAAAATGATAAACTACATTTAATTTAATTGTATTACATTACATACTATCCTCGTTCATTAGAGTTTGATCTAAAAGGTTCCCCTCGTCTTACCAAACCATTTTGTACAGTCATTTCATTTTCTTGAAACACTATAACGGTCTGTAATGTACCGTTTGCGTTTTGCATATTACAGTATATAATACGTATAATATACTGTATAACATATATAATACGCTTTGAAAATATTAAAAATTCAGATTAGCACTGCAAACAATGGCGTGTGTTATACATTAAAGTTTACATTTAAGTTTAGAAGTAGATTCAGCAGTGATAGCAGCATGATGTACTGTTATCTCAATAATATCACATGCTTCGGTGGTAAGAGAGCAATGTAACCCCGTAATGTGCAGATGATGTCTTTGCACCATATTTATTTCCTAAGCCTTTACTCGTAAACTCTACCATTATTTTAAATTGAAAAACTGAAGTGGGTTGTCTTGTTTCTGTTTGATTAATGTCATGTGTGGGCAATCTTTTACCACAGTGCAGCATCACAAGACAGGACACTCTTCATTATCACTGTGATGTGACGCCAATAGCTGTTACTTTCTGACTAAACCTTACCTGTTGTGACACCAGTACACATACAATATTTCTTTTTAATCTTCCTACCTTTGCTTTCTTAAAACAAAAATTGTAGTCTGACTTAACACTAAGGCCAGAATACAGTAGTTTCCAATAGTTATGGAAGATGTACTGTACTTTGTAAATAAGAAGGGGAATTTATCCGGGACACTGGTGTTAATTCCAAATACTGCAAGGACCATGGGATCCTTAAATAGCTACAATCTGAAGCACAGGTTTATGATCACATTTTCTAATCTGTGGTCATCAGTGCCAATTACAAGCTACTGAAAAATAGCTCAATATGTAACAAACAGCATGACACACCTGAATGACTCAATTCCCCGAATTCCCCCGAGTGTCTCCTTGGTAAAAAGATCTCCCAGTGTTCTGTACTTTAACAGGGAAATCCATTTCATTGGCCTTGAATCTTATCTTGTCTTACCCCAACACTAATTATGAAAGCTACAGTCCCTATTCCTGGACAAAAACAACAATAAAACTGGGCAGACATAAAAAGTAAATTCAGACTACCCATAATTGGCAAAAGACGATTAAGCATCATGCAACCAGATACTGAATCAGAGATGATGTTGGCACAAATGACAGCAAAGCTTTAATTTACAAGTTACTGCTTTATGCTGAACGAATTTGTGATGAATCCTCATCATTTCTAAGATACAAAGAGCTAAACTGAGGGCTAATTTAAACGAGGAGCTCAGAAAGCTTTATCTCTTTTCTCTTTACTGACAGCCCATCTCCCTTGAAACCAGAGTTTTCTCATATTATTCTACTTTCCTAACTTCAATGTGAACTCAAGAAGGCTGACAAACAGCATGCCTCTTGTTTTCCTCTTTGCTGGGATTAGTTCCCGCTTCAAATAAAAATTTCAGCCTAGCTTTTTTAACATTTATCAGTTAAGTAGGATGGTGCAGCATACTAAATTCACAGTTGCACAAAAGGAAGGAAAAGCAAACCTGTAAGTATAGTATAGCATTTTGCAATCTTGTAGAAGTAGACAGGGCAAGCTTTAGTGCATATTAAGACATAAAATGATACATTGACACAATTAAAAGAAACAACAGAATGTCGTTTACATATTCATTTTAAATCTGAGAATCGTACAGTGTAACAGAATGACCCAAAAAAATTCATTGCTTTTCCTTAAACTTAATTCTCTGCATCAGTTTATGTCAGTGAGTTATAGCTTATATAGCTAATACAGTTTTATCTTTTTGTATGTTTCTAAAAGATGCTTCAAAATGTTCTCCGATATTTTTAAAAGAAGACAATTCACTGCAGTATATGGAATAAGGGCACTTTACCAATCATTTGCTTTTATTAAAGCGGTGAAAAAGTGAAAAGGCTCATTTGAGTTGGTAATAAGAAGCATGTCAGGTGACAATTTACAGTTAAAAGGTCAACTAAAGTTATTCCACTTCCTCTTTGTAAATACTGCTAAATCATTCTTCCTGGCATCTTAGATTTTTTATTTAATTGTCATTGTTATCATTGTAGATCTTCCATATTGTAGAATTCCATAAAATCACTATTTGTACTAGAAAAGTGCTTCCTCAGAAATTGACTCTTATAAATCTCCCATTAAATCCTTTAATCACATAAAGGATACCTTGTTATTTAGTCACCAAACCAAGGTTCCTACTGTAAATGAAAGTGAAACAGTTCCCCTTGAGCTGTCACATTATCCTATCATCATCATAGTTCTCCAGCTTTACTGTTCCCATTTAAGACATGCCAGCAAGCAGAAAATCACTAGATTTACTACAGTACTTTATGTATCCATTGAACAACAGTAATGATACTGCACCTGAGCTAGAACTAAATATTTCTGCATGGAATTTTTTACTGTGCTTTGTTCTGCCTTTATTGCCTTTATATTAATTGTATGATATTTTAATTTAACCTAAAAGGCCTCAAGTAGCTTAAAAGAATATATATACTGTATGCAGTTTGATGCCACCCAGGACAACCATGACTTTAAGAGTGATCAAGGCTGGCCCAAGATGATGCACGTGTATTACAGCCGGTTGGTGAAAACTTTTGTTCTAACTTGTGCTAATCCCCTTTTCATGCACTCTCCTCTGAGAGTGGTGCTCTCAAGTACCCACTTGTTGGGATAACTAGGAGATCAGATGTGTCACAATGTTTTCCAAGCTCATTCACATACTAAGGACCTCTGAGCCCCCGGGCTCCAAGTCCTGTACTCATGATACATCACCCCCAATTTAATCACATATTCACTATGATTCTCATTCACACCTCAATCCTTTTATGACCTGCTCTAAAGTTAATATACAGTATATCGTTGAGCTGTTTGCTTGTTGACTCCAGACTCAGTGAAACTCGTACCACTGGTTCTCTCTCTCCTGCTCCTTTCAGAAAGTAACAGTGAAATCTCCCTTAACTCTGCCATTCCATTTTGAATGAGCTGTACTGATTTCTTTACCTTACTGGTGGGGCAACATGGCATACTATTCTGGAGCTACCCTTGCAACTTGATGAGTCATGATGACTCTAAATAGTCTAGGAGCCTCCCTGCTCCTAGACACTGTACATGGAGTCCAGTCCTGATCTTTTTTAGACTCCATATTCTACAGGTTCACCACCACATACCTACAAAAGCACCCCAAGGAGCTGAAAAACCCAACACAGTGCAGCCCTACTTCCTTTGAGTCAACCAGAGGCCAATCATAGGAAAGAAAACTTTCCCATCACTCTATCCTATATGCATTGAGTAAAAACCCCTCTACTACACCCCTGCACTCTGGTCCTTGCACACTAACTGTAATTTAACTCCCATATCTAATCTGGTTTTATAAGACAGCCCACAATTGTGAATCATTAGATTACATACTTTCTTAAGTTGTGGTCACATTGCAGAGCACGCTTCTGGGAAGAGAAGCTCCATGACATTTCCATACCTCGATGCATTACAGTGTACGTAACCCTTATAGAAATATTCCAATAATACTAATATTCACATTTCCATAATTCGTAGACTTTTCTGATCTTGTGAGATATCTGTCTGCCCATTCACACGTGTCTTTACATTCTTTTGTCTATTGGCCATGAGTTTGAGTTTTAACAAGCCTTAATTGTCAGAAAACAAAACAAGATTTAATATTTTCCACTCCAATTTACGTCCCCACCCTACCCCCCCAAAAAAGGATTCATAATTGAAAAAACAATCCAATGTTATTCACAATTTTACACAATGCATTCTTAAAGCACCAGAACGTTTCAAAGTCACCAAGATTGTCATGCAATTTGCAAAACATAAATTCTAATATGATCCTGCTCTTCACAAACCTCTCAAACATCCTCTACAGACCCAGAACCAGAGATTTTATTCTTCAGAGTCTTGTAGATGGTGAGTTTGGCTTGGCCCAGTAGAAAATTAACGAGGAGGGTCTGAATTTTCAGTTTTCTTCCATAACCCACCCTGTCACTGAAGGCCAGGCCGAGGTCAATGAAAAGCCGGACCAGCACAGCAAATATGGGTGACAGGCAGGAGCATGAACCGTGGCAGTGGAACACCGTCTCCTTCTGATCGCAGAAGTGACGGGCTTCGGACACTGTTAGATCCAGAACCAAACAAACGAGTTGACCCCGAGGAGCGCACAGTATACAGCCCGTGCCTCAGTATGTATTGTGGAACGTTGCTATTATATCCTTATGGCTCTAAAATCTTTGAATCAACCACAAAGAATGCAGACTTTAACTATTTTTTTTTGCCATTTTAAAAGTTATTCTTGATTGTTTCATTTAAAAATAAATATATTTTATGTCTAACTAAGGATTTAAAAAAAAATTCAAAGGTCCTGTGTCCCACATATTTATGAGAAGAAAAGTACTGTAAATCTATTGTGTAAAACTCCAGCAAGTCAATAGCTTATATTAGACTGCAAGAGAATTAGACATCATAATCCTGTTCAGGTTAAAGTTAAAAAAATACATAATAAATCAGAGGCTGTTTGGGCAATTAATATACACTGAAGATACATGTAACAGAAAAGCCAAGAGAATTCTCTATTATTAAAAATGGGAGTGCGTTTATCCACAACTACAACCAAGGAAATATTAAATAAATGTCTCTTTAGGGAAGCTATAAAGTAGGCTGAAATATGAAGAGCCAATCTTGAATAGTAATGGTGTTTCACACATAGTACCTACCACACACTCATCAACCCTGATTTCACAATCAAAATGTTTTTAATATACTGTACTTACCAGCATCATTCTTATCCCATGGCAAAGGCAACCCCTGAAACAGATGAATAATAAGTCATTTTTCCAGGTGAAGAAATTAATAATTATCTGGAATAAGCTTCTAATACCAAACATCATCTGAGAAATCTAGGCTTCCAGGGATGAAAATACAAAGTTATGAAGATTATAAGATCAGCTTAGAGAGGGTTTTGTTTTCTAAATGTTCATGCATTTTTACATTTGAAGAAACAGGAGTGAGATTTACAAAAAAAATGTATTTGGGTCTTAGCATCATTTTGTTATTGGAACCTTTGTATATCATCCCTTTTTGAGTTTCAGATTTATCACAGTGCTACTATTTCTCTGACAATATAGCCCTGTGAAGATGCTAGTGATGAAAAATTTTGGTTTTAATGCCTTAAAAATCAAACTAAGAGACAAACAAATAAAAGCTAGAGAAAAAGAGGAACAGAATCACAGAAAGTGATTTGTTCATTCACATTTAATTTTCATACTATATTATTACCAAATGGAAACTAATGAAGGAATAATAATTTTATAAACATCATCATCATCGTCATTGTCGTCATATTATCCAGTATCATTTCAGGAGTACTATTTACTGAGTTATCTTTCTCATTTCACCTTCTTCAGCCAATATGATGGTATGGCTGATTTTTAAACTAAATCCTAAATTTATTTATTAGTACACATGACCAACAAAGCACACTTCACTTACATAGTAAACGTGGAAATGCGCCATAACACTGGTTAGAAATTGTTCCAAAATTAAGGATATTATAATGTTCAGACAGCAGAAACATACACATTTCAGGATGTTAAAAATACAAAATGGAACTTTCAGTAATGGCGTGTTTTGTTCAAAATGTCTGTAATTAACATTTTGTGTCATCCTGAACTGACATACAAGAACTTTATAAATCTGACATCAGATCTGAGCGTCAGTATAGTGTTTGTCCATCTGCTGTATGTTAATTTTGAATAATTTGCTTTGAAAACATAAAAATAAATGTCTATATAAAAAATAAGCTTTCTTTTTCCTCCATAAAATCCACAAAACAAAATCCCATGTCTCTTCCCTTAATCTTTTACATTTATAGCAAGTCCTATGATATACTAAAGTGAGAAGACAGTATAAATTCTCAGGTATTAATACAGTCTGGATTTAAAGAATCGTAGGCCTAAGGGATTTGGCTGTGCTTCAAGTTTACAAACTAACACACCACCAAGGTGAAACATTCTTTGATCTTGAATTCAGAAAAAAAAACAGCAGAGAAAATACAATTAAAAGTTGGCAGGGGTGAAAAAATAAAACAAGAAAATGAGTATCTCACTCTGAATTTCCATATCACAAAATCTTGTTATTTTTTTGAAGGTATCACAATACCAAGTGCACTGCAGAGGGTTACATAAAACTAGGTGATAAAAATCCATCTACATTACAGTAATTCTGTAATTGTAATTGTCCTGAGACTATAACATCATGTTCCGACTGGCATATGTCAAAACATTAACAAGTTTAAGCAATGGTTCTCAATGTAATTCTGAAGTCTGTTTGCAGTTATGCAGTATACTGTACAAGACCTTAAGAGGCACACACTGCAACATCTTACCACCTAATGGAAAATCAGTACTGTTTTTCATCTTCTCTTTTCCCCTTGGCTTGTATTCAGGATGGTCTCAGGGCTGCTTTAAACTTTATGACTTGTTCCTGAAACCATGCAGTGGAATTTTTACAAAATTAGATGTTTTTAAAATAATTTGCCTGTTACAAAGACACTACTGTTTAGCTCTGCTGGGTTTTAATTTAATTCCAAGCACACTGTACAAGACATTTCGTTTTCTGTGAGTGGTGTGATGATGTCATGGTTTATATGATTAATGCACACCCCTGGTTTTGCATGGAGTTTAAAGCAACACCTACTTTTGAATTTGATCTCTGTAGTAACTGTGGCTTAACTGAAATGTGTACTGTGAGCATGCTCACTGGGAGCAGGTCTGCACACAGTCCATTCCTACACCCACTCCACATTGTCTGGAATGTCCGTTACTTGATGGAGTCACATGTTCCACATTTCACATATATGAAAATACCAGCCAGTTTTTTTTTTTAAATAATGCCGTCCTTTCACTTGTGCTTTTGCAAGACTTTCTTTTTTGTTTCAGGAACTAAAGCCACTCATTTACAAACCACTAGATATCGGAAGATAAAAAAGTAATGAGTAATTTTTTTTTTAATTAAAAAACCTGTTAAACAAACAGACATGCATAGCTATGTTTTATTTCATCTACCCGGGAAATGTTTGCTTTAGAAAAGCAGCACAACATCATAATGATTACTGGCATCTTAAACTTTAGGTTTATTAAGTTTTTTAAAACTTTTATTGTTATCAAATCAAGGCAAAATACATGTCATTTTTAACCACCTCTAGAAAAGCACCATACTGCCCTGTGCAGTCAGAAAGATACAGTATGTTACTACTTACTTTTGCCCTTCTGAACAGTGTACAAAAACAGCTGAAGAATGCCATGCTGTTAACTTTAGCTGTGTCCCAGGCTCCTGAGAGAAGGTGGCTTTTCCATTCCCCCCTCAGGGGGACCTATGGTACAGCATACAGTCCTGGAGTGCCTTGCTGGGGCTGGGAAGCAGGGCACTGGGGATGAAGGACCACGTCTGTGGGAAGGAGGCGGGGCACAGAACTAGCATAGCCTCCCTGTTAATGGGACACTGTAGGCAAGGATGCTCCCTGCATACCAATGCTGAACTAAACTCTGCTACTCTGCAGAGATAACAAACAGATGCTTGAGGGAGAGCACTGCAGTGCTAAAGAATCTGTCTGCTATTTTAAGCTGTTCTTATTTAAAAGGAGTAGAAGGTTTTTAAGGACTATCTTCATTTTCAGACATTTATTCAGATTCTTTAGATGCTGTTGCACTAGATGCTTCAGTAGACAGTCTCATTAAAACCCCATACTGAAGATAGGACTAACAAAAACAGATTCTGGGGTGCAGGTGATGAAAACGTGATCCCAAAGTGTCTAAGTACTTTTTTTGCTGTATGTTGAGCTAATGAGGTGCCTAATGAGGTGCAAAATAAAGTGAGCTGCTTTTGGTAATTAGAAAATAAGTCAAATGAATAATCCTAAAATACAATGCTAATTGTTAATATTAATATTGAATGATCTGATAGAATTTCTGCAAATACTGAGAATGATTTTAAAATTCTTTGTAAAGTATAACTATTATTGCTGTGAAGCAAAAGCATAAATGCATTTTGTACTGTTTGTATCAAATAATAACTATATTATTCACGATCAACCAATTACAGTTTCACATTTTGGTCTGGTATGTACTGTATAGCAATTTCTTTAGAAAATAAGCTAAATAACTAACTGCAGTCTTTGGCATACACTTTTAGAATAGAAGTTTGTATAACTAAGCCATTGAATCAGATTTGCTCCTTGTAATATCATAGGAATTAAAGAATCTGATGATTCCTCATATACTCTTAAAGCTGAAATGAATTGATTTGGCTAGCATTTATTCTGGAGTATGAAAATGGAGCAATGCCCACTCAGTGTGAAATGCAGGATACGAGAACAAAGACTTGAACTGTTTAGCTTCCATTTTGGGGTGTACTGTAGTTTCAATAAAACTTTGTTCTTAAGCTATGTTGGAAAAAGCACCCCAATTTCAGCACAAAATAAAAATCTTAGGATTAGGAAGAATGGAAATGAAGATGTTTTATTCTTATCTCCATGAAAGAAGGAGACACTAATTATACTGAGAGCAATGGATGATGAATAATGTTGCACTGAAAAGTAATACTGACATCGAAGTAAGAATGTTCAAATGATTCAATGCTAGGAGCTATTGTGTAGTTTATTGTACTGGTATAACAGTGTGTGACATTATTAATTGAAGAAGACTGAGTGGACAATTGCATCAGCATGTGCTGGCTGCAGGGGAACAAGTAAAGGTTAATTCCAGTCAGTTTAGTGGAGTTGTTAAAATCATGTTGTTATTATTATTTATTAATAAAGAAAAATAACAGTATTTCTTAGAAATTAAATATAGAACAGTAATAAGACCAGAAAGGTAAGAAATAGTAACAAGAACATAGCAAGATAAAATGTCTAATATATATAAATTGCATTATGTTGTTTTTTCAAACATGAATTTCCAGAATTCCATAATGCTAGTGCCCGGTTAACGTATCCTTGAAATAGGATTTCTGAAAATGCTGATTTACTATAACAATTTATGTTGTCATAATAACCCACGATACAGCGAGAAATGTGATATTATTGTCTTCATATCATGATATGATTGTATGAAACTATTAATGTCACTAGAGTACAGGAGGATTTACTTTCATAAAGATAACAGGAGCATTTGCTTAATCTCCCAATGCAAATGTATAGGTGGCTCTCCACAAAACACCATTACAAGAAATAAAATTCCATCAAAGTAACAGTTCAGCATTATTGAAAGTAGCATAACACACATACCATGAATTCTGTTTACAGACTCCCATGGACAAACGACAATAATACCATTGATTTGTGAAGTTCATTAAGAAACATGGCATTATTTAGTGTGGGTGAGGACGAGGTCAAGATATAAATTAACTAATGACAGAGAATGTTCCCTGTTAAAGAAATGTGTAGAGCTTTTCAAAATCTCCCCCTGGAACAAGAGGCAAGATGTTCTCTAGAAGTTAACAAGGAAAAAAAAATTATCCTTATTTCTTTAGCATATTTTCGGTTTCTCATATCCTCTGGAAATAGATAAATGTAAAATATGTATTATTCATTTATTCTGATTCTGATAACTTTACACAACTTGTGTGATGTTTGATGTTTAGTTAACACGACTTAACATGCAATAGTACCTAAATGTTTTACGTAAGTTTTGTTCATTCTGTCAGTTATCAAGAACAACTTTCCCTGAACACCTTAGCTCAGCTCTGGTGAGTTACTCCTCCTGGAGGACCATTGTGTCTGTGAGTTTTAGTTCTTTTTGAGCTAAGAC